CGTCGTTTAAAGTACGAAATCGCGTATCAAGAAAATGCAAAACCTCGAGGTGGAAGAGGTTGTCAAAATTTTTGTAGGAGAGAACCGATATTTCAGTATGAATGGAGAAGAAGGGCTCGATGTTAGGAGCTTCCAGTGAGCAAATATCCTTTTTGGCACAAATGTCAGTTACGAGGTTTTGCAGAACCACTATACGCGATTTTGTACTTTAAACGACGATATATGTATGTATGTATATTTAGTAACTTGCGCTTACAAAATCGTAATGAATAGAAGCAAGAGTTAACGAGCATACGGTGGAGTGGTTGGACCATCACAAAGCGACTATGAACTCATTGGAAGTGATACTAGCAATTATTTTGCTGTTTGACGAAATAATATATTTCATTCTAATGTGGTACCTGACATGTTTTGCAATCAAAATTATACGATACCACGGCCTGAAGGCATTGTGGCAGTTGACTCAAATATTGAATTCACTGGATAAGCGGATCGAAAATCAAAAGTGTAAATCTGAGGTGACCAAAAAGAAAACTCTCAAGTTCGCAGAAGATACGTTGGACAATGCCAAATAAAGTTTAGATTAATCCATCGAAATTCGATTTTGAATTCTCTTTGGAAATCAATAAATTTGTAACGCATATTTAGGCTGAAAACGTTTTTGCAGAAAATATTTTCGCCGAATTCCGCTTTTATATAGTATATTGTTATAATCCGGGGTTTGGGGCTTCAGAAATCGGTTCGATACACATACATATGTACATAAATTTAATGCATGGAGCTTGAATTTAGTAAGTTACATTTAAACTTTGCCAGGGGATGCTCAACAAACGTTATCATTTCGTTTCATTAATGAGCTATAAATTTAACAAAATAATTTCGTTACGTTTCAGAGCTAAATTAACGAAACATCACTCAATCGCAGTTTTTCAGTGCACGGGCCAGAGGAAAGAGAAAGTGGTCAAAACTGTTTTTTGACTATTTATTATATTTTTATAAAAATATTTTATTAAAAGATTTTTATGGTAAAACCAAGGCACATTGAACAGGTAGTATCAGTAGACCAGCTGATTTGATATTATTTAAAGAAACAAAAATATGAATTTAACTGAGAATTTTTAAGTGGTGCGTTTTATGTTAACTTGTTTTAAAAAAATCATTCATGATACTCAAAATTTATAATGGATTTTAAAAATTCTTTCAAGTCCAACAAACGGTGAAGATCTTATAATTTATAAAAATGTGGTACTTAAAAAATAATACATTACTGAACATCTAGAGGCCAAGCCCTTTCATTTGACATCTCACGTTATACTTTTAGACAGGAGGCAACTCTATAGAATTTCTAAGTACTAAAGATAATTCCCCGTAAAGTAATTTTCGAGATTAGCGTGTTCAAAAAATCTCGACTTGGCTTTATACTATGTAAGGAAGGCTATGTCCTTTTATTTGGTATGTTATTTTGTTATTCAACAAACGGTGGTATTCATATATATATAATAATTTAAACAGTGGGCAACCCTACTCGAAAAGATAATCGGCCCTATTATGGTTGTCGACGTCGACATCGACGTCGATGTAAGTTTTTCATCAAAAAATAGCCCTCGTAAATCCAACTCTAGCTACGCTGACCACAGTATTTTTGAGGAGAGGTGTTCCTCGCGAAAATGGCGTAGCTTTAGTTGGACTCACGAGGGCTATTTTTTAATGCAAAAATTACATCAATATTAACATCAAAAAACATAATAGGGCCGAATATATTATTCCAGATCTAGAGGCTAAGTCTGAAAAGACTTTGACAGTGACGGTGCCGAACTGATACCTTCGTTTATTAAGATTGAATATAGTAATTTTCTTAAACAGTTGGAAATCCTTAAAAAAAAAATAAAACACTTGTGCTTATCTAGAGGCCAATCCGTTTTATTTTATACCTAATTTTTTGTAATCCAACGAACGGTGCGGATTTATAATTTTTTAGACCGGTGGCAACCCTATAAAATTCTAAATACCAAAGGTCACTCTCCTGTCGATACAGAATATATTAGAGAAAATCGTCCAAATCAGTAAAGTAGTTTTCGAGGTTCTCCCTTATAGACTACATATCTTCACCTGAAATGCAAAATAATAGGGAATTTACATGATTCAACTTTCACAGGCGATTAGTTGAACGAAAGTAGGCATCCGACCAACTTCATTGAAAGCGATTAGTTGAACGGCCGTTTACACCAGGCGATTGTTGCATAACATCGTCACTGAAATGCAAAACGTCGTAACTTATAACAAATTCAAAATTTACTTTTTGATTGCTATGATGAATTTTATCGAATTACCACTCCCCACATCGCTTTATAAAAAAAAAAGTCACGACTTTTTCCATTTCAGTGATGTTACGTTATTTTACGATATATATGTATTAGGAATGTTAATCCCGGGATCCCGGACTTTTTATGGTCTCGAAAATCCCGGGATTCTGGGCAAATAATCCCGGGATTTTCGGGATTTGTAATTTGCACTGATGGCAATAATAGAAACTCCGTTTCTTGACCAGTATTGGCTATATATCTTTTTTTATTCAATAATTAATATTTTTTATAAATGTCTAGCTCATTGTACATATAACACCGCGCGATAGTAAATTTTAAACACAAATATCAATATATTCGCGAAACCAAGGGCAAATATAGTAAAAAAAAGTGATTCAAAAATGATTTAAAAAATTCAGAGAAATTTGCTTAGAGAAGAAGTATGGGTATAAAATTAATGAGGAAATCCTGTAGAATTTAAACATATTCAAGTTTCTAGCGCAAAAGGGCTGGTAAATATTGAAAATGTCATTTTAAAATTTTATCCTTGAAATTTCGCAATATTTGTTCGAATTTCGTTCTTCTAACTTTGTCAGCTTAAAAATTACCTATTCGTCCTGGTGGAGCAAAACAATTTAATTTTTTTTTTAATTCTAAAGAAATTTTCTATTGCATTTGTTACCCATATTTTTATTCTACATTCCATTGAATTTTTTAATAAATTTTTGGAACTAAGGCATCCACACACCTTTGCGATTCTGTCGCAACGAGTCCGCACCGTTTTTGATGCTACAGACGTTACTGCTTCGAAAACGCAAGTACGCACACATCTGTGTGATTTTATCGCAGTAAAAAGTGCCAATTTATAGACAAACAAAAAATATTAAAAAATAAAAATAAAATTCTTAAGTTGTCTACATCAAATATTTTTTGTTTTCTTACGTTCAATTTTGTTTTAATATTGTAAAATCCTTCTGAATCCTTCTATTGACCTTTTCGTTCTAAAGGGTATAAATGCGCCTTGTTTGCCAACATTTTAAAATCATATAACAATATATAATTCGCCTATATATTATAAATTCGCCTTGTCATATAAAATTTAAAATAAAAAAAAATAATATGTTCACAATTGTTGTTGTTTGAGTTTGAGTTTTGAATTTGAAAATTGTTGTAATATGAATTCGCTTTGTTTATGACACCTTGTATAAATTCGCCTTGATTTTGACATTATGAAGTACCGCGGCGAAAATCTAAACTCGCCATCAACATCCCCTTGTATAAATTCTCTTTGGCATTTAAAAGCGATTTAGGTTATTAATTACGTTTTTTTTTTGTATTACAAAATGTTGAATCAATGCGCGGATGATGATATTATTATAGAAGAGGTGTGTATGGCTTAATTGAAGTGATCAAAATGTGTTTTAAAGAAATATGTATTACAGATTCCTGTTTTCCTGTCAAAGAATCTCCAGGAGAATTTATATCTCTTTCAGTATCCAACAAAGACGCAAATAAGCAACTTTGACAATTCGGCTGTAGTAAACTGCTGTGTAAAACCATTAAATCAGGAAGTAAAGGTTGACTTCGCCTTGAACACTGATTCCCATTTTTATGACCGCTTTAAAGGTGAAAAGTTCGCTTTAGCCTCTGATGGTAAATGTCAAATAAAGGGCGACCGGCCAACCTTTAAGCGTGGTATCATGGACAAACAAGCGTTTACTAGCACACGTTCTCTGGAAGACGTTGATAAGTACGTAATTGGAATCTTCTCAGATAAGGAATTACATTTGACACCTGTGGCAAACATATTGCAATTAAGACCCTCGTTATCACATTTTGATAAGGAAGACAAGCGTTTAAAAGCCGAACAAAAGGCGCTCAATGATGAAGATGATGAGGAAGAATTGCAACAAGTGACTGTCAAGTTTGCCAAAACTGGTGTAGGAAGCAAAAAAACAAAAGCTAAAGAAAAGCAAGGCTATGCACACTTTATGAAACGAAGCAATGAAGAATCATGGTGCGAGACATATTGGCATCCACGAAAATCGCCCACGGCAGAGCTTGAAAGGCAAAAGTTATTCGCAACAAACCAACAAATAAACTTAGCTTTAGAATTAGATTCGCACAAGTATGTGAAGAAACTTTTACCGGACGATGGAAAAGATCAAGGAATTGATGCTGTGCTTCCTCCTAAGGTTATCAGCAAAGCTCGTTTAAAATCAATGCCTCTTATAGATCAGCTCAAAGTTGTATTAAAAGATGGTAAGTTTTATTTAATTTTAGGTCATCTACTTATAATTGTGTTCAACAGTACGAATGATGAGCTTCGAGGACCTATGTTCCATACTTCAAGATTCCAGTGATTATACTGTGTCAAGTGAAAAGGTACTGCGAGCTTTACCTCAAGTCGGCGTATTAATCCATGGTAATTGGGTGCCGCAATCGGATATAATATACCCCGCTGATACACTGTCCAACTCAAATGGTGTGTCTGCTGAACTGATGATACGCGCCCGAGATTATGTGGTAATTTACATAAAATATTAAATCCTCCTTGGTTTAAATTTTGTGTTCCTGTTGTTTGAAAAGCTTTTTAGATTTTCTCGTGTGAAGTACCTATACCGTCGTCAAGTAATTTCAGCTACACAACTACCGCCTGACGAAGCTGCAGAGGTTCTTCATTCCGTTGCTCGATTGAATTCTGAAAAGAAATGGGAGTTGCTTCTCTCCCCTAATAAAGATTTTGAACAACGATATCCCGAACTCGTACAGCGACAGGAGATGGTGTGGAGAGCAACCGAACAGACTTACAATGAAATGGATTTTGAAAAATCACCTAAGCGCTCCAGAAAACGTTCAATTCGTGAACCCAAACCACAGACTTCACAATCATCTCAGGAACTTTAATAAATCTACATTTGTACACAGTGGAATAATATTGTCGTTTAAAGTGCAATACAACCTTGTAACTGGCATTTGTGTCAAAAAAGACATTTGCTCACCGAAAGCTCTTGGCATCAAGCCCTTCTCCATTCATACTCATTCGATACTTAGGCATAAGAAGAAGAGATAAGTAGGAATAAAAGAGATAACCTTTTTGAAATAAGACAAGTTTTACTGTCCTATAAAATTTTGGCAATCTCCCATACGAGGTTTTGCATTTTCGTGATACGCGGTTTTTTTTACTTTAAACGACGATATAATTTTTTGTTATGTACATTAGGGTGGTCCAAAAATGCATGTGGGGGGGAAAAAGTGAAGTCGGAATTTTTATGCTCTCACCCCCTAGGATTATTCTATACCGAAAAAATACCCTTATTTTCTTATTTTAAAATCAAAAAATATTTAGAGGTCGCTCAAAGCGCCCAAAGTTTGCCATGTATTTTATATGGAGAAAAAAACTTTTCGTAGAAATGGTATAGAATAGTTAAAAATGAATATTTTTCTGCCAGAAAACTCTGTTTATCTGCAGGAGATTCTCAATGATAATACCCAATTGTTTATTTAACCATTTTTTCATTGCAACCATAATTTCTAGGTCCACCAAAAACCCAGAAAAATTCAATGGGGCGACCAATAAAAAATCGTTAGTATTAAAAAATAAGTTATATAAACAATTGGGTATTATTATTGAAAGTCTCCTGAAGAGAACCCGAGTTTTCCGATCGAAAAATATTGACTTTCAAGAACTCTACCATTTCTACGAAAAAATTTATTTTTCCCATATAAAAATACGCGGAAAACGTTGAGTGCTTTGAGCGATCTCTATATATTTTTTGATTTCAAAATATAAAATAGGGGTATACTTTTTTCGATATAGAACCATCCTAGGGGGTGAGAGCATTGCAATTCCGACTTTACTGTTTTTGGACCACCCTAATGTACATATGTACAATACTACGTTATTCTAAATTGTACACCGAGTTTAAGTTAAATGTTCGGCTTTTTTGTCTAATTTCTTAACATTTGTTTAATATGTTTTACAATATCATGCTGAATAACAGAACGATTGCTTTTGTTTATTACGAATGTACGGGATGTGGAAGAATTTTTTAGACATTCAACAAGTTTAAGATGTTCGTTCGATTGACATGGTATTGTCGCCAAAATTGGAACTTTACCAATTAACTTAATTAAAGCTCTCTCAAATCTTTCACTCTTTAGTTCCATTTTTCCAATTTCGTCTATAACTAATAGATCCTGTTTCGAATTAGGGTAATCAAGTAACGGAAGTACTAAGTCTTCAAATTCATTAATGTAAACCGAGTATTTTCCTACTTTTGGCATTTGGTCTGTATTTACAGACCGCTCTCTGAAAAAAATTTATATACATATTATGACGTTTCCTTCCATGATCAATATGCAAACCTCGCTAGGATAGAGCGTTTGCCAAGAAACGTTACAACATCGAATCCGATGCGAGCAGAGGTCTGGTCACAACGTACTTCCTCAGTAATAAAACCAAAACAATTGTAAGACACTGCTAGCTCCTTGCATATATTTCGAACCAACGTAGTTTTGCCAACACCTTTAAATTGTTACTATGTAGTAATACATATATGTACTACTTTTATTGCATATGTTTACCTGGGGGACCCGATATTAAAATTGTATTAAACATATTTTCCTCCACTACGAACTTACGAACAGCTGATTTGTATTTCGTTTATTTATTAGGAGCGTTCCTTATCTCCCAGAAATAGTCAGAAAAAGTCCGAAGTAGTCAGATTTAGTCCAAAAAGCGTTCCTTAACTCGGAAATGACAGCAAAAATGAGAGAGCAACACACAGTGAGAGTGACTCTCATTAGTCCGAAGTAGTCAGATTTAGTCAGAAGAATTTTTTCTGGCAAAATCCTGAAAAGTGTCAAACTCAACTGAATTTAAATTAACGGAAATTAAAAAATACGCTAAAAGTGAGAATAATCTAAAAAGTATAAGAAATGAATTGAAATTGGAAGGAGGCAAAAAATAATTGATATAGTAAGTGTTTATTGTGCTTGTGCTTGTGTGAATGTGTTTTGTACATACATTTCCATTCTTATTTGATGTTAGCTTTGTTGTTGCCTTTCTTTGGACAAAAAATTTGGTTTTTTGCGTTCCTTTACTTTTCCTGTTATTCTCTTTTAGTGAGCGCATTTTGCTTACGCTCTGGCATTTTGACACTTTTCAGATTTTAGTCCAAAAGGATAAGGAATGAACCTATTGAGTTCGTTCGTTTCCCCACTCGCTAACTGATGGCGAATCGATGACGGCTAATGTCAAAATAGTGTGCAAGGTGTATTAAACAAGGTGGTGTTGGGGCGACAGCTGAGTTTTT